TTGAATTCCACAGGGGCTGCCTAATTCATATTTAACAGAATAACAGAGTTGGAAGAGACCTTGGAGGTCTTCTAGTCCAACCCCCTGCTCTGGGAGCAAGCACTATATACCGTTTCAGACATAGGGCATTTTATGAGGGAAGCTTACAATCTAAAATATGGAACCTAAAGGGAAAAAAACCGAACAAACTTAGGCATCAATTTTTAAAGTAAAATGATAGTTAAAAATCTGTGGAGATTTTCAATCATCCAGGTGATAGTTGTCTCAAAGGTGTTTTTGATTTCAAAAGGCAACTGGGCTTTTTTTTTTTTCCATTGAGGAAGATGAAGAAAATGTTTTGCTTTTCATGCAAGAAACTTCATCAATTCTGCTGGTGGGGGGGCGAGATGGAAGAATAGCAGCGGTGAAATTCAGCCGGTTCTGACAGGTTCTAGAGAATCGGTAGTGGAAATTTTGAGTAGTTTGGAGAAAAGGCAAATAACGCCTCTGGCTGGCCCCAGAGCGGGGGGGGGGATTGAGATTTTGCAGTATCCTTCCCCTGCCATGCCCATCAAGCCACTCCCACAGAACCTGTAGTAAAAAAAATTGAATTTCACCACTGAAGGGTAGGTTCTGATAAGGTCAGGGGGATGGAAGGAGTGTATTTCTTTGTTAGCACTCTCTCTGATAGCTGCTGAGGCCACTTGAAGATTTATTTGTGCCCTCAAGGGCACCTGAATCAGGGTGCAATTGGTTGTGCAATCTTCTTGGGCCTGCTATGTGGGAAGAAATGTCCATCTGAGTTCAGTTCCAAGTGGGGAAAAAGACACTGGAAACATGGAGGCTGTTTGGAAAAATGGTTCAATGGTGGACAGGACCACATGCCTTGGTGTTCCTGGGTGAAAAGGGAAGAAATGCTGAGAGTCCCTGGGTTTTATGCCCTCTCTGAGCTTTGAACTTCCTGAGGCACAGGAAGTGTATCCTGATTGGTTGCTGCCAGAGGTCATAGCTAGCTTTGTAGGTTGTCTGTGTGCTAAGTTTGGGTGGTACAATGAAGGGCAATGAAATGGCTCTGCCTGAAGGGGGTAGCTCTTTGTTATGTAGAATAGACTGACTCAGGCCTTAATGGCTCATTGACAAGGTGTTTCTGAGTTTCTACTTCTCTTTTTAGGGGAAATATTCTGCCTTTTTAATATAAATTCCTAAAAGATTTCATTTTCTTGGAGAGGGGTGGGTTTTAACTTCCTACAGCTGCAAGTGCTGTGTTCTAAATGGGAGATAGATGGTGTCTTATTCTTGGATGAGAAGTGAATTATTCTTCTTGGATGAACAAAACGAACAGAATAACAAAGTTGGAAGGGACCTTGGAGGTCTTCTAGTCCAACCCCCTGCTTAGGCAGNCCACCTCTGGCTGGCCCCAGAGTGTGGTGGGAAGGGAGATTTTGCAGTATCCTTTCTCTGGAGTGGGGAGGAAATGAAGATTTTTCAATATCCTTCCCCTGGAGTGTGGTGGGAATGAGATTTTGCAGTATCCTTCCCCTGCCATGCCCACCAAGCCATGCCTAAATAACCGGTAGTAAAAATATATATATATGAATTTCACCACTGGAACGGACTATGCTTTTCATGCAGAATTGAATGAACGTGAGTGGCACATCTATGTATGCATTTGAGAGTTGTAGTTTGGGACCACAACACCTTGTCCCTTTACATCCCAGAGACTGTTTCTTAATACTATTTTCCTCAAGCTTAAAGGCGATGGGATATGTAGTGATACCAAACCACACTCCAAAGAGGTTTTCTGTGGATTGGATTTTTGGAAGAATTACCACATGGAATTTTGGGTATTGAAGTCCACAGCTCTTAAAGTTGCCATGGTTGAGAAACAGTGATTCAAAGCAACACAGAGTGACCTACTCTGTTGTTGCACCAAGCACCTTATGCCAAGATTTTCAGTCCAGGGAGAAGCAAAGGTTGGAGTAGATTAATAATGAAAAGTACAGCCTCTGTTTCTGACATAGACCCTCACTTAGAAGAAGTCACTTTGTGGTGGATGAGTAGCAATGTTGGATTCCATCAAGAAATAAAAACATGGCGAGACAGTGGGCATTTCAAGGCCTTTGACTGCCTCGTCCGTTTCTGAAATATGAAAATAAAATAAAATAGTCTTTTTTGCGATGATCTTATTGTTCACTGCTTTCTAAGAGCTGTATTCAAACTTATAGAAAGATCTGCATCATTCATTCCGTCAAATCCAGATTTAACATGCAGCTGCCACTTGTCTGAGTCTAGCTGGCCACGCCCAACCCACCCCACTCCTCCCAGGAGTCTTATCAGGCCTCCAAAGGAAGGCAGTTTTCGCCCTCCCAGAGGCTCGAGGAAATCCTCTCAAGCCTGGGGAGTGTGAACCACCATCCCCAGCCCCACCCACATGGTGCAGGAGGCTGACTAGGCCACGCCCACCATGGCCACACCTACCCAGCAATGCGGCAGCGAATCCGTTGCTGCAATTTTTGAAGCCCACCCCTGGTAAAGATAGGGAAGGCTCCCGACAAAAGGGATCTGGTCAAAAGTAGGTAACTATGGCTGGAACCTATGGTGAAAAACGTATGGTTATTCTATATGTCCTATACTGTAAAACATAAAAGCTAGTTGGAGTTTCAATTGCACCATCGTGATTTTGATTTCTCTTTACCATTCTCTTGCCTCAGTGTAAAAAAAGATGATGAACCTCTGGAAAGCACTTTATTTTGTACTATGTATTTTAGTACATTAAGATTTATCCAAGGTGTAAGAGATAAGCTACTTTACAGCAGCATTCAGCCCAAATAGGAAAAGACTGCAGAACAGTGTGCGAAAAGATACAATATATATGCAACATACTTCAAACTGGCAGATAAAGTAAGATTTACAGAGTGGAACTGAGAAACGGGTCGTTTCATTAAAAACTGGGATTTATTCCTAGGCTCTAATGGGTAGTGTTGTCTGGAGCAAGTTTAATTTTGTGACTCTTGAGGAAATGGATAAGGTCTTCCAATCGGTGATCTCAGCCATTTCTCTATTAAGTGCAGGTCCTTCTTGCATCATCAGAGCCACCCAGAAAGTGTCCTACAGTGGATCCATACAGTATATTTACTTCTTGGTGTGAGGGATGGCGGTTTCAGTTTTAACTTACCCCTAGTTAGTACTAACCTACTCAACCTAACCACCCTGAATAATTTCTGTCCAGTCTCCAAACTCACCTTTCTAGAGAAGGTACTGGAGGGGATGGTTGGGCTTCCTTGGAAGAAACCAAATATCAATGTCATTTTGGGGTTCATTTTGGAGATAACATTGGTTTATTTATTAATTAAATTTGTATGCCACCCACCACCCTACCAAGTTACTCTCGGCATCTTACAATACCATAAATAACAGATTAAAATAATTACAGGATTAAAGCATTAAAAAAATAATAGAATAAGAGAATAACAAGGTTGGAAGGGATCTTCAAGGTCTTCTAGTCCAACCGTCTCTGTTCAAGCAGGAGATCCTATACCATTTCAGGCGGTTCAAACTCTTCTCAAAAGCCTCCAGTTGTGGTTAATGGACCGCTCGCAACTTCTGGAGGCAAGCTGTTCCACTGGTTAATTGTTCTCACTGTTAGGAAAATAAAATGTTATCTGATTTTGTTTGTTTGTTTATAAATAGATGTTATGTTAAGAAAATTATCAGGTGTTAAGTGTTAAAACATTAAAATGGTTGCATCAATTAATGACCTGTGGCAGAGCTGAGATTAAGTGGTGAGTTCATCCTGATGTTCTTTGATCTCTCAGCCAGTTTCAATATTTTTGATCACAGCAGCTTTTGGACCAGCTTCAGGGGTTGGGAATGGGAGGCACAATTTTGTGGTAATTATTACCCTCCTTTCCCTGAGGCCAGTTTTAATTGTGGTTGACAGGGAGAGATGTTATAGCCAGAGTCCAATAGTGTGGAGTGCCACAGGCTTAAAACTCTTGTTTAACATCTATAGTCGTGATGGCAAACCAATGGCACGCATGGGAAGCCTCCAAAGGGAAGCCTCCAGAGTTGAAAATCAAGGCCGAAAATCAGGTGGAGCCTCCGGAGGGAGAAAAACGGCCCAATGGGCAACTCAGAAGTCCATTCCCGAACTTCCGGTTTGCGTGTTCGGCTGTTTTTTCACCCTCCCCAGGCTCCTAAAAAGCCTCTGGAGCAGTGGTGGGTTGCTCTTACTGTCACTACAGGTACGCTGCTCGTGGGCTGTTCGTGCATGCACTGGATGTGCGCTGTGAACGCATGCGCACTCCACCACCCCTGCGACACCCAGCTGCTTGTCGGAGGTTGTGCAGGTGCTACACACTGTGCGTGCATGTTCAATTGGCCCGGTTGCTTCAAAAACAGGTATGGAATGTGGGCGGGTGGATGGGCCAAATGAGCCACCGTACCGGTACGGTGGCCCCTGCTCCCAACTACTACCAGTACAGCCATAGCAGGCTGTACCGGCTGGAACCCACCACTACTCTGGAGCCTGGGGAGTGCAAAAAAACAGACCTACTGGGCCCACTGGAAGTCAGAAAATGGGCCATTTCTGGCCTCCAAAGCACCTCCTGGGAGGGGGGGGGAAGAGGAGGCCGTTTTCATCCTCCCCAGGCTCCAAGAAAGCTATGCATGCATGCATGGGGCAGTGGGGGGATCACACACATGTGCAGGGGGCACAACATGGAGGATATTAAATTATGGGGGCATGCGAGCGGGCACACAAGTGTGTGCAATAGAGCACGAATGCATGCTTTTGGCACCGGAGGTGAAAAAGGTTCGTCATCACTAATCTATAGGAAACCCCTGAATGATGTCATCTCTCCATTTGGGGTCAAATCTCATCAGTGTACATTGTGTCTCTTGAACATGACCCATCTGCACAAATGAAGAAGCAATCCATAATATTTAGACATCTCCGTTGTATCACTTCATCAGCTCAGAAGGTTCACATGACCCTAATTATTCCTGTATTTCTTTGCTAGGAAGCCTCGTGTGCCTATGTGTTGATCGTCACGGCGATATATTGGGTATCCGAAGCAGTGCCCCTTGGAGCGGCAGCCCTTGTTCCTGCTTTCCTCTATCCACTCTTTGGTGTGATGAAGTCCAGTGAGGTCAGAACTGTGTCCTTTTCCTTCCTTCATTCCAGTGATAGCATCCAGTATCCAAAAACTACACTTGACTCTTGAGCCACATCATTTTCTTACCAGTTGAAACTTGCCATACTTTCCTTTGGGGTGTTTTTTTTTCAACTTCCTAGTTTGGTGTTCGATCCCAGTGATTTCTCCCATTTAACTATGAATCAGGCCTGACCCTGCTTAGCTTTTTGGAATCAGACACAGTTGCCTAAATTAATCCACCCCAATAGATACACATCATTTCATGAATTTATAGTTCATGATTGGTGGCCAGCTTTGAACTTTTAAAAATAAATAACCAACTTACGACCTGCTGAGATACCCTCATTTCAATCTTTATTTTTTTGAACACAAGCAATGTTTCTTAGGGTTGGTTTCAGTAGTGGGTTACAACCGGTACACCCCGGTACAGGCGTACCGGTGCCTGTGGGGAACACCAGGTACCGTTCCGGTACAGTGCTCTGGAGGGCCCACCCACCCGTGTGTGTGTGTGTGTGTGTGTGTGTGTGTGTGTGTTTGAAAAGGCAAAGTGGCTCTGCATTCAATCAAACTTTTTGAATTCCTCCCCCCTCCCCACACACACACCTTTTCCAGCTGTTTCAGAGAGGATTTCAACTCTG